AAACTTCTGTTGAGGTGGCAGCTGTCAAAGGGAAGGAGTAAAATTTAAGAGAGAAATAGAAAATAATACCTGCATATTTGCCTGGGAATGGAACCCAAACAGAACTCTAAACAAATGTTTCTCATTAGAAAAAAGTTCCATAAAGAAAGGAGAGAAGATTGGGGCACCTGGGTGGGTCATTTGGTTAAGCAGTTAAGCAGCTGCCTTTAGCTCAGGATCCTGGGATAGAGCCCCTTGTCTGACTCCCTGCTCAGCAGGGGAGCCTGCTTCTTCCTCTCCCTCTGCCTGCCACTCCCCCTGCTTGTGCTCTCTCTCAAATAAATAAATAAAATCTTAAAAAAAGAAGAAGAAGAAAGAAGAGGGGCGCCTGGGTGGCTCAGCCGTTAAGCGTCTGCCTTCGGCTCAGGTCATGCTCCTAGGGTCCTGGGATCAAGCCCCACATCAGGCTCCCCACTCTGCTGGAAGCCTGCTTTTCCTTCTCCCTCTCCCCGTGCTTGTTTTCCCTCTCTCGCTGTGTCTGTCAAATAAATAACTAAAACCTTTAAAAAGAAAGGGAAGATGAGTAACTTAATGTCTGAGAAGTCAATTACTTTCCACAGAATTTTTTCCATAGAATTTTTTTATGCAAGTATAAAAATGAAGGTCGATTCTTAAGGTCAATTCTTCCCAATAACTCAATCAGTAATAACATACTTCTTTTAAAACTGTAAACTTATTTCCATTGAATATAGTAGGCTTATGTTATATTTAATGTATCTTAATGGTCTAGCAGAATCTTTAATAGTTAAATTTATGTTGTAGAGTAACTTAAGGAAATTTGATTACTAGAGATAATACAGCCAAGGTATTTCCTGAAGTATGCTTTATGTTCAGAGTATGTTCATTATCTTATTTATCTAGATCTCAGTTAATTCGCTCCAAAGAAGTTATCCAGAAGTAATAAGTTAACTGAGACTTTTTTAAAAATAGTAGAATAGGAAACAAATGTGAGATGACCCTATGAATTTTGAAGTGTTAGATAGAAAAAGATCAGAACATTGGGAACCATAACATCTAGACTCCAAATTTTGTTCGAAAATGTCTGCAAGTACTCATGATCTTTAATGACTTTGTTTATGTCAACAGAAAGTTCAAAATTACTACTAAACAAATAGTGTTTAATTTCTACTTATGGAATTAATCTGTAATGCTCATATTGGCTCCTTTGAACAAAAAGTTATTTTATCTTGGTGAAAGCAAATATGGCTATAAATTGATAGATTGAAACAGCTGTTCATTCAAAGTATTGCCTATATTTTGGAACAGTGCCATCAAAGGGCAGAAATAGATTACTTACTTAGGAAATCCTCAGCAACTAAGCTAGGAAGCATTTTCTCTTTTTAAGATTATTTATTTATTTATTTGACAGACAAAGATCACAAGTAGTTGGTGAGGCAGACAGGCTGAGAGAGAAGAGGAAGCAGGCTCCCTGCTGAGCGGAGAGCCCAATGCAGGGCTTGATCCCAAGACCCTGGGATCATGACCTGAGCCAAAGGGTAGAAGCTTTAACCCACTGAGCCACCCAGCTGCCCTGCTAAGATGCATTTTCAATGTTACTTCTGATTTCTCCTCTTCCTCCTCCACCTCCTTGTGCTGCTATCTATTCCCCTAGGGGTTAAAATAATTTACAAAGCAAGGTTATTTCTTTCTTTTAAAGTTTATTTATTTATTTACATAAGTAATATCTACACCAAACATGGGGCCTGAACTTACAACCCTGAACTCAAGAGCTGTGTGCTCTTCTAAGTCAGTCAGGCACCCCATAAGGTAAATTTATTTTTTGCCAGGTCGTCATTTCAGGACTGGTAACTCTTTTCTCCTGCAGCTCTGTGGAAAGAATTTTATTTTTGTCAGCTAAGAGTAGCCTCAGATCTATCAACAATTCAGTTTTACTTAATTAACATCATTGGAACAATTGGTACCTCTAAGGAGCTTCTCAGGATAGTGTATGCTCAAAGGCTATCTGGAGGCCCACCTTTTTTCAGTTATTCTAGAATTGGGTAGGATGGTTGTTTGAATTGCACAATGAAAGAAGCAGTCAACACTCACTTTCTTAAGGATCCACGGGCGGTAGAATCTGCAAATTCCTGCCTTCTATGCAAAATGAGTTGCTTCTATAACTGATCCGTTGCTGCTAGGGTTCTTACCTCCTCTCTAAAGGCACATTTTGAGCATAAAGCATCAGCCAAGGCAAATGATTTTCCTTTCTTCTCAGAACACTGGAAGTGAGAATATTTGTATTCCAACAATGGTTTTACTATTATATAGTCAAGGACAAGGCAATTCTCTCTCATTTTTAAAATTATTAAAATGAAGGTAATGGACTAAATCATCTCTAAGAGTCCCTCCAATCAAAAACTTTATTAAATCGGGCTCAGTTGGTTAAGCAGCTGCCTTCAGCTCAGGTCATGATCCCAGCGTCCTGGGATCGAGTCCCACATCGGGCCCCTTGCTTGGTGGGGAGCCTGCTTTTCCCTCTGCCTCTGCCTGCCACTCTGTCTGCCTCTGCTTGATCTCTCTCTCTCTCTCTCTCTCTCTCTCTCTCTCTCTCTGACAAATAAATAAAATATTTTAAAAAAATAAAACAAAAAAAATAAAGTCTACTTAAAAAAAAACTTTATTAAATTACCTCTCTGTATTCTAAAGAAAATTTTGACTCTCTGAGTCTTACATGGTGGTGTGTAGAACATAGTTGGTGTTCAATATTATTGAGTTAATTTATTACACTCTGATGTAAACTGTTTCTATATAACATTTTTCATATATATATATATATATATACACACACACACACATACCTTTTCAAAATAAATCACACTTTTTTACCTGTAAACACTGATTTCACTGGGTTCTATGAAGTCTGAGGCAGTACCCGACATCATTTCAAAGTTGAAATGCAAAACAAAAAAACTTAAAAAATTAGCTTGAATTAGTAAGCACCCATCATGATCATTGTTGCATCAATTCATCTTCTTGAAATAGATTTTTAAATAATATCAAAGATATATAGATCAAAGAAATATAAATGGAAGGATTTTGAAGGATAGAACAACTTTCTGAAAAATCAGTTATTTTGCTTCAATATGGTGCAGTAACTTAGTAAGGACTCTGAGCGCCGCTGTTCACCAACCAGGGGGAAAATGGTGCGAGAGATCTGCCAGAACCACTGAGCTTTATCATACAAAGAAACACCAGATTGAGACAAACTCTCTTCCAAGCTTCATCAAACTCAGGTCTTTTATACTAGATACTGTGCTTCTTTTACGAATACAAAAGATTCCACGCTGACACACTGGCATCCAGAAGCACAACAGGAGATAGCCCAGCGTCTAAACAAGATCGGCACAACAATGGCGGCTCCGCAGAGGGGTGGGGAATACAGAAGATTCATCCTGCTCTCCATCCTCCTGGGAACCCAGAGGGAAGCTTGGGCAGGACATATTCTCTACTCTGTGCCAGAGGAGACAGACAAAGGATCTTTTGTGGGTAATATCGCTAAGGATCTGGGTCTGGAGCCCGGGGAACTGGAGGAGCGTGGAGTCCGCATCGTCTCCAGAGGTAGGACGCAGCTTTTCGCTCTGAATCCGCGAAGTGGCAGCTTGGTCACCGCGGACAGGATAGACCGGGAGGAGCTCTGTGCTCAGAGCGCGCGGTGCCTAGTGAACTTTAACATCCTAATGGATAAAATGAATCTTCACCCAGTAGAAGTGGAAATAATAGACGTTAATGACAACGCTCCTAGATTCTTGACGGAAGAAATGACTGTGAAAATAACGGAGAACACAGCTCCTGGGGTGCGGTTTCCGTTAAATGAGGCTCGGGATCCAGATGTGGGCACGAACTCTCTCCAGAGCTACCAGCTCAACCCCAATCATCACTTCTCCCTGGTAGTGCAGACTGGAGACGATGGAGGTAAATATCCAGAATTAGTGCTGGAAAGGGTGCTGGATCGAGAGGAAGAGGCGGTTCACCACCTACTCCTTACAGCCTCTGACGGTGGCGACCCACCCCGATCCCAGACCGCCCACATCCAAGTAACAGTGGTAGATGTGAACGATCACGCTCCAGTCTTCTCTTTGCCTCAGTACCAAGCAACTGTCCCTGAGAATGTGCCGGTGGGTACGAGATTGCTAATGGTGCATGCCGTTGACCTGGATGAGGGAGTCAATGGGGAAGTGACATATTCTTTCCGGAAGATAACTCAGAAGATTCTGCAGATATTCCAGCTGAACCCTCATACAGGAGAATTATCAACTTTAGAAGGCCTAGATTATGAAGAGTCCAGCTACTATGAAATGGAAGTTCAGGCTCAGGACGGTCCTGGTAGTATAACAAGGGCTAAAGTAATGATTACAATTTTAGATGTGAATGACAATGCCCCAGAAGTGACTGTAACTTCTGTAAGCAACTCAGTCCCTGAAGACACTCCTCCTGGAACTGTAGTTGCTCTTTTCTACCTTCAAGATAGAGATTCCGGCAAGAATGGTGAAGTAACCTGCACTATTTCAGAAAATCTGCCTTTTAAATTAGAAAGATCAATAGACAATTACTATAGGTTGATGACAGCAAAAAACCTAGACCGGGAAAAATGCTCTGTGTATAACATCACACTGATAGCCACAGATGGTGGAACCCCACCCTTGTCCTCAGAAACTCACATCTCCATGAATGTGGCAGATACCAACGACAATCCGCCTGCCTTCCCTCAGTCCTCCTATTCTGTCTACATCCCTGAAAACAATCCCAGAGGTGCCTCCATCTTCTCTGTGACTGCATCCGACCCAGACAGCCAGGAGAATGCTCGAGTCACTTACTCCCTGTCTGAAGACACTCTCCAAGGGGCTTCCCTCTCCTCCTATGTGTCCATCAACTCTGACACAGGCAT